CGAATTGTATGAATAAAGGAGCTGCTGTATTTTCTGAAGTTATATATCATAATCAATGATCACCTTTGATGTTATTGTCAACTTTAAAAAAAATGGTTCAACAGAAATGAGAACAAAATAATAAATTCTTTATTACAGAATAATTCTTACATAATTTTTCTAGATTAGGGCGACATTATTCACTATGAATTAGTATAACCGTTAGTTTGTAACGTTACTTTTCATTTGATAATCAAGATCTTTATATCATCATCTCTTTAAATAGATGTTGCTGTTCTATATGAAAACATATATTTTACCAAAGAAAGCAGTTATTGTGAATTATAACACGACCTGCATGTTTCCCTATTGAACATAGAGGGATCGAAAGTTTGTACAAATCTTCGCATCCGAACCCCAAACAGTGATTTCATTTAGCGATAAGATCACTGTTGGGGATATATTATACCTTAAGTAATCATTGTAAACACTTATGTCAGATAATTCGGGTAATTTCTGTGTGGACAATACGAAGATATAAGAGCATAATGTGGTCTTGTTGTATTTATTACTCATTGCTATATTCAATCAATTTTAAGATTAATCTAAGCCCCCTTAAGTAAAACATACAGTAAATACTGTTAGCATTGAGCTTCACGGAAAAGATTGGGAATTTTTAATGGTATCATTTTTGTACTAACCTTGCCTGTAAAACATAATAAGTGGCTCATTGAAATCTAAATTATGCTTTAATATAGATTTGTGTCGACTCACAAGTGCTTTTATGAAAATGAAATATTTTTCCATTACTAATCTCTTCTCATCATATGAATTAAGAATAAGATGCAACATTTTCTTATCGTAATTGTTACAGCCACAGGATGCGCATAATTATTCAACAATTCATTTCTACTTAACTGTTGAATGTGTGATCGTTTCTACAAGGGATATTTTGCAATGAACTTTTATCATTACTGTTAAATTGATGTTGAATAATCATTTACTAGAAGTAATTTTGTGATAATTTCTAAAAAAAGTCATAATAGTGCTTAAATGTAGAGTTAAGTATTTGGTGATTTGAGGGATTTGCGTTGATAAGATAAACAGCAAACACAGCTGGGATAACTTATGATAACATGGAGATAAAATAAGTAATCCCCGTGGCTAACTGACACTTATACTCCGATAAATGGTCGTTCAGTAAAAAACGGTTGTATTATATCTTAAAACAAGGAGGTAATCCAGATGGTAAAAATCTGTTATTTCATGTTTTAAAGTGATCGTTTGTAAATGTGTTATGCCCTGTCGTGCTATTAGAAATTCCCAAAATCATAAGTATTATATTTATAGTAATTATTCTACAAATATTGCTTTTACTTGCATTATACTAAGGTACATTTTATAAATATATGAAATGTGAAACACAAAGATTCAAAATGAAAATTCAATGACTGTCCTTTTTGTAATAATCCGTCTGCTTAGCACGGAGAGCATCGGATAAGTAATTCAAGAGTCGCGGATTCGATCCTCCGGCGAGGTGAACTTTCTCGGTGACAATTGACCCCGGACATTAAGTTATGTCTTATCGCTGATGCAGAAATAATATTAAATTAGCGATCTCATGTAAGACATGAGGATTTGATAATGCGGAAACATTACAGAAAATTCCTACAGAGAATGTAAAATTGGCATGTAATGCTTTTTTTATGTTGTAACAGACCGATTCTGTTTGTTAACTGGAAAATGTGTATTGTTTAATATTGATTAAAAATCAGAAATTAAAAATTGCATTATAGAGAACATTTATAATAAACTATGGGATTTTGTAAATGATGAGAAGAATTGTCAAAATGTAACTGGCTCATTAGGGCTAGTGGAGGTTTGGATATTTCCAACATCTGTTAATACGAATGTATATTTGCACGTACTGAAAACTAGACTGGTCGTGAAGTTTATTATTGAATGTAGATTTCGAATGAATAATAGCCCAAGTTTAACTGTTTTTAGAGAATTGAAAGAGGGCCTATAGTTATCTGTGCATCTCATTAAAATAAATAATTTCAAACATCGAATAGAAGAAACTGGTAATTATTGGTTAGTTTGGGTTAGTTATCAAGGAGAGCCGGTTAGGCGGACTGACGGTCAAGATATATCCAAAATGTGTTAAAACTGAACCGAAAAAAACAACAAAAAGTGAACTTTCTTTATAATATCAGAATTCAATTTTCTGTGAACTGGTTTAAATATATCCCTTATTCGTTGAAACTTGATAATAGTAAAGTTAGGATCTTAATTTATATTTCAAATTGTATAGTAAAATGACACAAGAAAATCAAATCAAAAGACGTACCGTTTACTTAAGATATCCAAATGAAGTTAAAATCATTTTCACAAGGGCGATAAGACTGACACTTCAGAAATGATAACATAACTTTACGGGTATATCGGCTCTTTTAACGCTCCCCCACCTTTAATACCCAGGGATACACAATACATTTATGGTATTTTATGACAATAATTTCACACTTGTATAGATTGGTCGGCGGTTGTAAAGGCCAATGTTTGTTTTCAATTTGTACTTTAACAGTTACTGTAACTTTACGACTAGTAATCTTTTAGCACTATTATATATGAGATCAGACTTTCCTTATTGTATATATTATAAGATTTGTACCGATTATCACAATATACAGCCGAATTGTCCACAAGCGCATAATTTTACAACCCACACTGCAATTTCAAGTATTTGATCATAAATAAGTTTCTAAATTGCACACATTTATAGATATAAGTATGTGAATTTACGATGTAATAATTATAAAAATGGTATACTGCACTGTAAGATTGCATCAGAATGACCTCCCCTAAGAAAACAAGAAATGTAAATAAAATAAAAAAAGCAAATAATGTACCATATATTATACTGTATATGATATTGCTACCCCACGAACTTGTTTTCTCATTTGAAATACATTATCACAACCTAATGATATTTGGTATAAAATGCAACCCGGCTTTGACCCATTTTTGTTGATATAAGAATAAAACTTAATGTTGTACTTGTATTGATTGTTCATTACTGGGTTATTGTATCTTAGTTTGGGGACCTTTCTGTTGAAAATGTGGCAGAGTTAAATCGTATACATATACATGCACAGTGCGTTAACTGGAGTGAAGGTATTAGTTACCCGCACTTCAGAGCATGCCCATTGATTGGTTCATTTTGTCCGGGGTTAACATATTGTGACGACAGAGAAATGGATAGTGATTGAAATATCATATTCAGATGCTCGTTCATTGGTTACTTTTTTGTGGGGTGTCATATTGTGGGATCAGGGAACGTGTTTTTATGTTTGACTATGATACGTAATAGAAAGAGCATCGAAACACGAGGCTATCTGATTTGTACGAGGGGGCGTAGCCCCCGAGTATTAATCAGATTGCCGAGTGTTTTGATGTTCTTTCTATTTTGTATCATAGTCAAACATAAAATCACGTTCCCTTTTGTCACAATATAAAACCCCACAAAAAAGGAACAAATAAACGAGCATCTGCATATAATATTTCTATCGCTTTCCCTTTCTCTGCCGTCATAATTTGTAAACACCAGCAAAAATGAGCCAATCAATGGGCATGCTTTGGAGTGCGGGTTACTAATACCTGCACTCCAGTTAACGCACTGTGCATGTATATGTATACGATATAACTCTGACATATTTTCAACAGAAAGGTCCCCAAACTATGATACAAAAAAGAGAAAGAGCATCAAAACACTCGGCAATCTGATTTATAATGCCCCCTCGTACAAATCAGATAGCCTCGTGTTTGATGCTCTTTCTATTACTTAACCAGCGGGCAAATAACTGTGATAACATTGTTGACTGTAAGTTATGGTGATCTAGGTTTTTTTTATCGTTGAATGTTTTGGTTTTGCATTAGATTTTTGATTGACTGACTGACTGACTGACTGACTGACTGTCCATGAGGAATTATGGAAAAGGTGCGACATATTAAATATTCAATATAAATATCAAATTATCAATATTTGCACAGGACTACATAATTATCATTCTTGTAAAGATTCTCCAAAGCCGGTGAGGACGAGGTGTCATTCGAAAGTTTTCAACTTGAGCTCATGCGGTTATAAGTCTGTGTTATGCATCGCCAGGAAAACACATTTAAAACACCATGGTAAAGAACGGTATTTCACGACACCTTTAGCAAAATCGTAGCTTCGTACCATTCCCGGTGCTATTTCTATTTGTCAGAAACGATTCATGTTTATTCTAACCATACATATATCTATGCATTTAACACTACACAGTCTTTCTTAAGTGACCTGATCTCTTCTAATTATTTTGATGTACGAGTATCATATGCCAAGTTCTAGCTAAAATGGGGATGCCACATATTGTGTTGACTTCAGATCACTGTTTATGTTTCTAACAAGTAAATATCAACAGATAGTGTAGATAAAAATATTCCAGATAAGGACAAAGCATGTAAGGATAAACGAATACAAAGCTAAATCTTCATTCCATTATTATTTATAAATATATAGCAAAACAAAGTTAAACTTAAAATAAACATTACTTAAAATCGAAAAACAAACTCGTAAAATCATCAAAACAGCATTCTATTTTGCTGTCAGTCATTATATCAAAATAACTTTTACCAAATATAACATTGCGTAAGCCGATATGGTATACAGCAATTATACAGCGATTATAAAGCTTGCAAAATTAACTTCAGCTACAATTTCCTTTAGTTCAAAAATGTTGATATGACATCAGCGTAATATAATGTATCAGTCAATTTTAAACAAGACTCACACCACCTTTGAGGATGGTGAAATCGGGGTAAGAAGTGAACGGTGTATACAAAATAGTACTTATACTAATTAAGGAACAAAAGTATCGGATATATGAAGCCGATCGCCCTTGAACATACTATAATATGGTTACAATTATTTCACTTCCTACAGAACATCATTGATGACTATTCCCCCGCACGGACCATGCGGACACGGCCCGTTTTATTAATTCTTATAACACTTGTAAGCATTTATCAAACCATGACTTTAAAATTATCACGTTCTTTCAAAATGTGCTATGATAACCATTTTCCACGATTTATATTCCGTTCTAAGACATTCTCACAATATCGAGCTATACAAAGACTCCCGGTTTTTTGCTCACCGGTTACAAAGACATATTTTACAAACACAACAAAAACTTGATTATTAATTTTAAGGCTTGAAAAATGCATAATATTATTACGTTTTTCCACTAGAATATATTCAAGCGAATAAACTGTCGCCATGACAACGGTGTTATTTACGCTTTCAAAATGACTGTTAATCTTTAGAATTCAATCAATTTTGTAATTTTACTAAATATAAAATTCACTTTAAAAGCGGTAGATTGACAAGACTTTTCGTTGGTCAAGGTCACACGAATGATATCTTCAGTTTTATTAGACACGGAAAGTTGCGAACTTGTCCGTATTGTCACAAGCAGACTTTCATTAGACTAGGTTACTCAAATCCCGTCGTCTGCAACATATTTAAATGAGGGCACAATGACAAGTATGATAACCGTCGAGAATATTGTTATGAGCATAAAGGTCCAGAAAAACAGACGATCGACAACTAGTGCCACCTGCTTCCATTCGTCTTCAACGTCTTTTTCCGCGTCCTCGGCGTCACTTTTCACTACCAAAATCTTAAGGTATTTTAAAATTTCCTCCATTGTTGTCATGGATTTATCCCTTCTTAAATTGACACTGGATTCTTCCTCCACCATGGAACTTCTGTTAGAAACACTATAATCACGTAAATCAAGATTCATTTTACTGGTGTTGACGTCATTAATTGAAGGGTTTCTCATGTTAGAATTCACCACGTGGTTTCTTGAAACACTTTCACTATTAAGGCAATTGTTTCCATTCTTTTGAGTGACTGCTTCCATTTGTCTCAACAGCTTCGTTTGCAGTTCCTTCATATCTATTTCCGCATCAGATGAAGGCGTTTTGCGCATGCGCGAAAGTTTACAGTTTGTTGATATGCATTCGCACCTGACCAGTTTCGCCAGATATCCTAGCACTATATGGCGAACCCATCTCGGTATTTTCTTCTGATTTGGCGAGCAGTGGTGAAGTTTGAGAACAACAACAGTCAGTATAACTGAAACACTTGCTACAGCCATTGAAACGGTAAGATATATACCTGAAATTACAAAATCATATCTTCACTTCATAATTTAGTAACATATGACCTAAGAATCAATCAGGAAAATATGTTTGTCCTGTCTTTCGGATAAAATGTAAAGTGTATGATTAGACATTGTTAAACCTTATAAATGAAATTTAAAACACGCAAAGGTATGAAAGGATCAAACATTTTTTGTTTGCGAGTTTCGAGTTAACATGCCCAATATACGGTAACATACCAATATAATTGTACATGATAAAATAAGATACACGTTAAAAAAAGACGTTATTTACATAACACACAAGAAAAACAAGATTTTAAGATTTGTGAGTTATGTCACTATATAAAGGAACGGTATTCATGTTTTGGATATGTTTAATTACTAATTAGATGAAAATTTGATTTCTGTTGACGCTATTTGGCTGTTTATGATATAATCACCTACCAATTAAAGGAACGAACTCTGATGTAGGGGGCATAGATTCAGCTACTAGTAACATGAACACGGAGTACGACAGCAGGACAGTGATGCTGTAAAACAGAAAACATACATCCAGTAAATCTTCAAGTTGATGAATTAATAATAATGCCCCTATGTGATGACTGGATTTATCCGATTCAATTAGATTTATTCCGGGCTATTGAAATTATCAGTTTCATAAAATAGAATAAGATATGCTAGAAAGTATTAAATTATGTCACAATTTCATCGAGTAAAAGAAAATACTTGCACGATTTGTTTTGACACATGGGACCATGTAAGCCACTTTATTCTCACAATAAACGCTTAAATTTGGTTGATTTTTCTTCAAATTGTAAGAATATGGTGATGATAGATATGTAAGAAATTCTTTTTTCATAGCAGACGATAAAATTTGTGTTTGTTGATTTTTACAAACATTTCCATATTGTTGACCCCCCTCACACATAAGTATATGAATATCTTCTGGCTGTGTGTAAATGAAAATATATTATTTTCTTTATTAAAAATAAGTACCTTAGTAATTAAGATCATTTCAATGTCGCGTACAATGGGATGCAACTCTGTTTATAAAACTAATCTTTACCTTAGCGTGATTTTCTCCCCTGCGTCGGGTGGAAGACAGAACGTCAGAACACTAAGAATGTTGAGCCAAAAACACGGAAATAATATGTTGAGAACATAATACAAAATACGTCGCTGAATTGTTAATATCACTGAAATAGAAAATATTTAAATCTGTTAATAATTACCATTTAATTAATGATGCCATTAATAAGCTGCTCACGTTGCGCTGTTTTTATTAGAAAAACGTTCAAGTGCACGAAAACTTAGTAATACTCTTTTACTCGTTTGTTCAAAATTGACGCTGATATTCTTTTTACGTTTTGTAATAAATAATCAACAATCTACGTCCCTGGTGGGGCCCTAATTATTGTTTCAAATATGTAAGTTAACTTAGTTGTACATGTACTTAACAGTGATTGTGCCAGAACGACACTTGCCTCAAGTTATAATTTGTATGGGACGTTCTGAAAAGGTCACTTTTTTATCTTACCCTTGAGTTTAAAGTACGAACGTAGCGTACAGAAGGTATAACATACAGAAGGTACACACGCAAAAGAATGTGGCATTAGTAATTTTTTAACAACCCTTGTAAGAATTGTTTATATAGTTGTAATACAGATAACTTTGCTGTTATCATCTGCAAATAATTGTTGCTATAATCATTATAAAACCACTACTAAGTGATTAAAAAAGTAATCTTTTTATTCGACAGATGTGTATGTTTACAGATGGATTTGCTGTTAAAGTTTATCTGTATTCAGAGCGTGGAGAAATATAAAAACAATTATAGCTATAGGTTAATAATTTTTATTTTATTATCTTCAATTTTTCAATATAATATTTGGTGTATTTTTATGTTGCACTAACACAGTAGACGTCATATGACTGTATTGGAGTGGTGGAGGAATGTATCTGGTGACCCTCCGTGCATTATGTCTGAAGACATGAACGGACACCTGAATAGAACCACTGACGTTTCGTGCTTGGATTCAAACTTACAGCGGTGAAGGGCATGTTGAATCTCTATTTTCTTTCAGATGTGTGGGAAAGAGTAAATAATACCAACAATCTGTGGCATAACTGTTTGTCATGGTTATCTTGTAGACCGCATTACTTGAAATACTTCTGTACATTTGTTAAGTGAATTATATGACATTGTATGGAGCGACTTATATCACAAAATACCAGTAACTAATGCAGTGCGTAATGATTCTTTCAATTGTGCATTATTTGTTCTGCTTATACCAAACTTTACTACCTAATAAGATTCACTCTACTTTCTCAAATATTTCACGGACCTTATCCGTCCATAATATCTACGAGACCATAACAAAATAAAACAGTTTTTATTCTCCTTACATTCCAAGTTTCCACGGACCTTGACGAATTGAAATAATTGTGTTATAAGACAAGACATTTTCCATTGATAAACGTGTTCTCCGGGCAGAATTGAAACATCGCATTACTGAGCACTATATCAAACAATCAAAATAATAAAAACAACATAAAGAAAGCAATAGCAGAGACGTAAAAAGCAATAAGCAAAATATTAGTTCTGTAATAATTGGCGTCATTCTAGAGGAAAAGTCGGGCAATAAACGCTGCTTTAAAGAGTACAATAACTTCTTATATAATGGTAATTATTGTCAGATACAATTATTACAGTACTTTATCATTGTCAGCAGAAATTAATGACTACAGCAGACGAAATGATCATTATAAAAGATTTTTTATAAATGACGATTTTTACATTATTTTTGCCATCAAAATTACAGAAAAACACATATTTAGTTTTATCATTTAATTGATCTAAATCAAATCATTTGCATAGAAAAATCAAAGCAATTCTGGCAAATTTGAATCTCATTTGAAATTGAAACATAGCACACTTAACAGAAATAATTTTCAAATAACATCTGGACTGATCATTAAGTACTTTAGAAATGGAAATGTTTTTATAATACAGTTAGTTGTATAATTTAAGTTAAATGAATGTAGTGCTATATCCAATTATGCGCGAGATTCGTCCTAGAAATAATAACATCAAATATATAATAGAAACGGTTATATAAATTGATATGCACCACATCAAATTCATTTATTAAAATGCCTCGATTTTTCATAGGATAAGAGTCTGCGTACCTGTGACGTCAGGATATATGGCTGGGCTTATCGGATATACGACTTCGTTTCTGATGATCTCATATTTTGTTAACATCCATTCTCCATTTGTTACGTAACGTGAAACCTCAACAACACCGCTTTTAGTTAATAAATCAACCTGTGCTTTGTCATAAGACCAACTCCCGAACTTCAGTTCACACACCTGTAGGGGTATTAATTACTTAAATATTTGTTCGTAAAATACATTATCTCTTTCAGAACTATTTTCTATGACAATTCAGATTAAATGTGTTTTTTTATAATATTCCCTTAGTTTGATCTAAAATGAAACTTTTTTTTTTGTAATTTTGTAAGAACTTACTTATGCTCTAGTATGGTAAATACATGTATGTTGTTATATCACATATGTGCCGGAATCAAACATCATGGTATACAAATACATTTGTTATTTCACTTTTGCATACAAAGTCAATGTCTTAATATTACATTACATAAGAATCCATTTTTATCTTATCATTCTTTTCTAATAAAATCAAAACACTTGATAATCTTCTTCTATTTAGAGAAAGTTTATCGTATCCCATTCTACATTATGTCCTTACATAGTCATGTTTAGTATTGTTTAACGCTTGATAAAATGTAGCCAATGAGCATCCAATATTGTCACCATGTGATCTCCCAATATAATTCATTATTGCATCAAATTTTATCAATTAAGCCTTTTCATTTTGCCAGTCCAATATTCTATAGTCTAGTCTCGTTTTCGTTTTCCGAGTCCATATCAAAATCCAAAATCCATATCAAATCAATATAATACTGCGTGTAGCACCTATTTTATTATCTCAATTATCAAATAAAACAAAAGAGTTAAATTCCTTTCAAAATGTCCAAAATTTGATAGCATGAATACATTTTTGAGTATAATACTGATTCTATTGGACTCATACCAACTGAAACCCTACAGCGCCTGGTCCAATATAGGTTAAGGAGATAGGTACTTGTAAACTTGAATTCGGTATTGTACCCAACATTGTGTAATAACCTCATATGTGTATTCCTCTTATATGTAACCACACGAAAATCTTCTAATTGTATACAATTGATTTCAGTTGATATCTCGTCATTTAAACATCATTCTTGTCATATCGATTCACATGATTTTTTGTGAGATAATTTACAAATGTAATTAATTCTTTATCATGTCATTAAACAGTAAAGATCACTCTTTATCATGTTTATATATTACTATATCAAATCATAAAATAAAGTATATATTATCGTATGAAAGGTATTACGTTACTATATATACCTGATGGTCGAAAGGGAAGTAGGTGATGTCCACTTTACAAGAACTTTTAAGTCTTGCCGGAGGTGGCCAGAAAACAGTGCCGTTATAATCTACCATAGCATTAATTGGCATAAATCCCGCTGTGTAGTCGTCAGCACTAGAAAAAAACATATAATTGTACATCTTATCGTTCAATGTCATAAGTGGAAATTGTCTATAGTTTATATGAATTTATTTTAGTTCAATTGTGTAGGAAGCTACAAGCTTATTGAAACACTCCCGAGCCGGTTCCTGGAACTAACCGGTACTATGCAGTGAGTGTAAAATTTCTTGCTCTAGAAAATAATGGCTTACCCCTGATTGGGTTTGAACCCACACGGCTAGCAATCCGTATAATAATAGGCCGACACGTTAACTACTAGGCCACGCCGCCACATTTGTTTTGATTTCCCCATCATTTATATTTGTATGCAAAATTGGTATAAATAAACACCATTTTGTATTTGAGTAACGATAGATCTAATGAAAATGGAAAGTAATAGTCTTTCTAAAAAATGTCACAAAATGATCACTTATAATTAACATAACTAAATTGTTGAATGTATATTTCATCAATTGTTCATATATATGAGCCGCGTCACGACAAAACAACATAATGGGTTTGCGACCAGCATGGATCCAGACCAGCCTGCGCATCCGCGCAATCTGATAAGGACCCATGCTGTTCGCTATCAGCTTCTCTACTTGTAATAGGGCTGGTAAGCGAACATCAGACTGCGCGGATGCGCAGGCTGGTCTGACCCATTATGTTGGTTTTGTCATGGCGCGGCTCAATTATAATAATTATCAGAACGTACTTGTTATACAGGACTATATCTGGTAGCCAAAGAAGTTTTGCTGGCAGACGAACTATTTCTAAACCGTTATACTCGCTGATGTTCCAGCTGATTCTTTCATCTATCCATATCTATAAATAAATTATTGTACCATGTTGGTGAATCAAATCTTTCTTTTTTAAAACATCTTTTCATTTTCTTAAATAAATAATCTTATATCTTGATATATTAATATATGTCTAAAACTAAAATATTTAACACTTAGTATAGATATGGAAGCAACTTAAAACATAAAATATGCTAAAATATGAAAAAATATTTATCATTACAAATTACATTTTTTCTTTAACATTGCATGTAAGATAAAATTAGTACCCAAACTGTTGACTTTGAAACGTAACTTTTGCAAGTATTATTAAAAGGAGATAAATCGAACAAATATAACTATCAAAATAAAGAAAACCCATAGCTATTGCTTAAGATGTATAGGATCTGGGTCTTTTTGTCATTTTTGAATATTTATTAGAAATCATTTGTCAAAAATGGAAACAAAATATGCTTGAACTCCTAAAGAAATCTAAAAATTGAATCAGAATAATTATTTCCAGACATTAGTATATTGTTATTATGTAACCTGAACTGATGGTGAATGTTTACTGCAAGACTTTGGTATTTTTTACGTAATTTGAAATGTGCTTTTTGATCTATTTTCTGCAGCAAGGAATATTTTGCAGACATATTTGAACCATTATTCATTTGTACGGTTGTAAATATTTGTTTGCTCACCGGATTAAAACAAATATTTGATGGCCAGACATTTTCTCATAACAGAAGTGGTTGTTATTTAACTCACTCTTGCTGCAGAAAATGAAAAAATCGTAAGAAGTGCAGACGTAAATATTAAAGAATGCTAGCGTAACAATAAAATAATAGTTAAACAACTTTTACACGTCAGTCTCTTTTATCAGACAAGTCGAAACAATTTATTGAATTAGTTTATTTTCTTTTTGTTTCAATCAATAAAAAGAAATCAGCAAACAATAAATCAGTTGATACATTCGTACTTATTGATTACATTGATTTAACAATTTTGCTCTAGGTAATTTCGTTAGTTTCAGTTTTAAGCACATGACTTTTATCATTATGAAAATGGAATGTTATAAATTCTTTATTTAGTGTATAATATTATGTTTATTACTTAATATAATTATTCATTTCAGAGCACTATACATTTAGAAAAAAAACAATAATTACATTATTCAAATCTAAAATTGGGATCGGCCGATCGACAGACAGACGGACGGACGGACATACTGATACTTTTTATTTACAATCAGATTCTGCAGTTATTTCTCATCTTATGATTATTCTCATAATTGTACGGGCTAACAGTAAACCAAATGTACATTTATGAAAATGAATATTATATTATGAATGTTAATTCACATGACTAATTGCATTAAGTGTTTATTTAAAAACCGAGATGAAAAGTATTAAAATAAAGATCATGTTACTACTAAAATATTCTTGTAGAACGCTCGTAAGGTGTCGATATCTTACGTTACTATTAGTGTCTTAGAATGTTGTAATAGTCGTTGATATGAAAACACAACCAACCTATAAAGACAATGTTCCGCTTTTAAGTTATACATTCTTTATTAAATGAAACAACAGATGTCTCGACATTTAAAATAAAATGTATAAAAATTCTGCAGTAAAATGATACAATGTGTGTTTGCCTTGCAATGGAACAGAAAATTAAACATTGGTGTTTGGTGGACAGACAACTGGTAACTTTGTTGCTGTGTAATCAGACAAGTACAGTTACAATTATTATTGAGTATGTCTGTCCTCATCATATATGATTTACGTATAACTGGTCTGACTCAAGGCAACAATCAAGAAACGAATTACGGAACAATATGTCTAACTGAATTCAATTCCATTTAAAACAACAACACATGGGACGTTAGTATAAAACTGGAACAGGACCTAACCTAGGAAACGGTTTTGTTTATTTTTCATATTTTCACCCTGACGATGAGGCGCATTATTTGTTTTCAAATGCATATATATATATTTCCTCATTAGTGATACAGAAAAACTAAGAGAGCAGTTTATTGGCATGTTCAATTAGTATAATCTTAGAGTGATAAATAAATATGCATCAATGTACTGTTGCCTTGAAATTTGTTTGAAATTTGTATCCTTAGAATCTTTTTCAGCAATAAATCAATTTATCAAACTGTTTTACTGTTGAATTAAATTGATACATTCTGTAGCTTGAAGAAAGTGTCTAGTGTGACTTAGTAGTTCACACTGATATACAACTGTATGACATCTCAGACATATATATTTGATAAAATTACCATTTTTCTGGGGTCTTTTCTCATAATAAACAGTCTTATTGCCACGTTTTGTAATGTTGAAATATATTTTATGTCGTTGGTATATATTCGTATCTAAATGTAAAGTGAATGTATGAAACTGTCTAAAGACAAACCGTCAAAATGTCGGATTAAAGAGACAGTTGAGAATCCAATGATGTGAAACAATGGTGTAGTAACCATGGAAAGTGATTATCAAAGTTTCGCCTCGACTACGAGAAAGAAATTAATTATGTTTTGAACAAAATATTTTACAGCAATTGAATCTTTTCTACTACAATTAAAAAGGCAATTACTTTTACTATTACAAATGATCGCATTGTTTTATCATTCAAAATATAGTTCTGGTAATTAGATCATACTCGTTCATCCCAGAAATGAAGTTCATTAATGTAAGAAGCTATATATCTTATATACAGACCCTTGACCATTGTTTATTAATATTATGTTGTGTGCGGTGCGACTTTGCCCAGTAAAGCTATAAGTTAAAGTAAAAGTATTGAATTGTCATTAGATTGTTGTCATTGATCATATTAAAACAATGTTAGGGGAGAAAGGTTACACCTTTAATACGGTCATTCTTGGTAAATGCCATCTATTTAAATATCTCTAAAGCGTTTTTGTCTTCTAAACAGTAATCAGTGAATAAGATTCCTTCCATGAACAAATCTTTGATCAACTTTATAACATAACTATTACAAATTACATATAAAAAGGGTTGACAGACTTGTGAAAATATTGTGAACTGAATAAAACTCATAAAAACTTTAGGGGTCACCATCCTATTTTTCGTTAATTAACTTTTCTGCCCCTGAAAAAGAGTTTTTACTCATTCATCCTTTAAGGGATATTCAGGCAAAATAATGACAAAAATATTTAAATGATCTTTTGTACACAAATCATGCTAAATGACATTTCTTAAAGTTTCAGCATGAATTTCTGTTTAAATTCGATATATTTCGGGCTGAAGCGTAAATATACCTATATATGTTGAACAAAATTAAGACGTCAATAGAATCATCGAACAGTTTTAAAACAAGTCAGGTGATTTGAACAAACCCTTGAAGTTACAATAACAGATATTGTGGATATTGTATGATTGAAACAAGTCTAAGTCATTCATTTGACATGTTCTTTAACGTTTCCAGAGTTCACAGTGACAACTATTGTGAAATCCTAGCGTCCTAACCTGACCCACGCGGGTCAAGTTAGGAAACTACCATTTTATTCTTTATATGGAGAAAAGTTTTGTTCCTTTGACTGTCTAATATATTCATTTTTAGGGCATTTACAGAATGATGACTGAAAAATTCAAAACTAAGAAATGAAAATTTTGCCTGTGGGAGAAACTCTATTGCATAGAATTTCAGTAAATTATGCACTGTGACAAGGAACATAGTAAAACAAAATAAAATAACTCTGCAAATTTAATATCAAATGAGAGTTGCTGGACATAGTTTTGATTTACCTACTGTTGAAAATGAAAAAGAACAAACAGTCTTATACTGGAACAGAAAACTAAAACAAGTAGGAACATATAACTAAAACAAGTAGGACGCATAATTTAAACAAAAATGGCGGGGTGTGCTTATGCATCAAAATTGAAAGATTTCAAACTGTTTTATTTCATACTGAATTCAAAGTAGCCATTACAGTGATTTGGAGACAATATAATCAAATATCATTTTCTGCTTTCATAATTTAGGAACAGTTTAGATTAAAATGAAACAAGGAAATATTGTATACAAAACATAAAATGGCGTGCATCGATGGTATTTGTACAAAATTACTGTCTGTCCATATAAAAGATACAAGAAATATTGGTATAAACACTACCAGAAGCATGTAATAACACGACATACAAAGCCTTACTGGCGACCTCAGTGTATCCAGGATATATAATTCTAGCAGACGACAATTATTTAGTCAATATAAAAATATTTCTGGAAGGTAAGAACGAGATTTGAATGTACAATAAAACTACGTAATTGTATGAACTTTTTCACATTAACATTATTACATAAAGTCACGTTGATCCATCACTACAATATTTCTGGGATAGTCAGAATCTGCATTGAAATGATATTAAAGTTAAATGTTTAAAACAATACGCAAGACAAATAAATTAATTGTATAATATCTTATTTTGTAATTTCTTACTTTTATGCAACAGACCAAAATAATGTCACTTTCTTTTTGTTTGTTTGTTGTTGTTTTTTTTCTCTTTAAAGCTGCTAATTTATAAATAATCAATTGGGAACAATGTTTTGTTACGACACACAATATATCATTTTAGACCAGATGTTACTTTTATGTAAAAGACTTCTATACTTCATTAACAATTGCATTTACAAATTGTTTTGCAGTAATTCTTTATTTTTTTAACAATTCTATAATAGGTCGTTTCTTTGCATCATACTACATGTATCATAATTTAAAAAAGGTCACTTTTCTTCCATTCCTTTAATGATATTTCTAGAAAAGACCGTTTTTGCCGCATACTATGATAATTCTATGATAGGTCTTTTTCTTGCATACTTATTATGGTAAGGCCGTTTTTGCTGCACTTACTATACTTTTTGTTATTTATAAAATGTAACATTTACTTCATGTGTAAGTAAGACAGTAAACATAGTTTTCTCCTTTATTACCGGTTATATCTATGCATGGACCCATCGAAAATTCATTTGTCATATCGTTGGTTGACATAGTTGAGAGGTTGAGCGTTATCGCTAGACAGCTATATGTTTGACAAAAATATATGTATTGGCAGTCTGCACGAACAATCTTGTATGAACTATGAGAATGTTACCTGCTAATTTTCATTCATTTTCATGTTGAAATGGGATTTCACTGTCACCTCAACTTATTCCTTCGATGAAATATAATTATTGCCGTTGTGATATCTTTTAAAAAGTATTAGGTAACGTCATCAAGGATTTCATTGTATGTATTGTATAGACTTGTACAATATATTTATTATCCGCTTGATGCATGATCCTATCTATGATGACAACAGACATATCTATAACTCTAAATGTGTTTTGTCTGATTACAGGATTACAAAACCACTGATTGTTTGTGCGTGTGGCTAAAGACAAAATAATACTTTTGTCTGACGGCGAAATGAAAACATATGGTGTTGCTTTTCCGCGCAATGGGAAAATAGAATACTATACAATATTCACTAGACTGTACTCTAACCTCTGAGCCCCTTCATAGCTTAACAAATGAAAGAACAAATGACGACATCAAAGTCGCGTATACAACGAATGCTTGCAAATGGTGTTTTCAAAAAATATATCAATCGAATTTCTGAAAAGTCGTTGACAGAGTTTATAAATACAATTAGATCTAGCAAATGTTGGTAAACAAACGACTCGTGTTTAAAGGCTCGATTGAATAGCATAATTTCAAAAAATCGTTCCAATTTTCCAGCTTTATATTAACGTTATGGCACTTCCGTACATATAATATGATGTGTTGTTATATACTATATACAAACATCGAATAAACATACGCTTGATATTATATTATATTTTGTAATTAAAGAATTTTCTGTGATAGAAGAATATAAAGCATAGCAGGTAAACTTCCTTAACCAGACCATCTTATTGTAAAACACTAGTTTATAACTCACAATGAGTTAAACATTTAAACTATTGAAATATTCAAATCTAAAACAAATCATCGTGCCGTGAAGTTTGGAGATTTCTTTACATATTAAGATAGAAAATAAAAACGAAAATAAAGTATCAGAAAATACAAAGATGACTTTTATGTTTTTGTTCCTTTCTAAACAGGCACACATATTGTCACCCTTTTTTCCTTAATGCTGATATTCTTTAGGATATATTTACGACACACGTAAAAATATTATTTAAAACATATATCAGACAACAATAGATTTGAAAGATTGTTATTGTATGTGTACACAAATGCAACCAGAAATACACTACTTACCATTTCCAGCCATGCATTTAAAACAAGAAGTTGATTCTTTTCATCCTGAAAAATAAAACGAAATCAAAAGTGCCATGACATCATTTTATAACGAAATGCAATTCCTCTCAGAATAAACAGCAATTCCTCTCAGAATAAACAGCAATTCCTCTCAGAATAAACAGCAATTCCTCTCAGAATAAACAGCAATTTCTCCATTTTCACATAAAAAACGAAATATTTAATTAAAATGTTTTTGTGAATATTTTAGGGTTTTATTGCATCTTCTCTCTATCTTACACATTAAATCTGGTGCAGTACAGTATTCCATAAACAGAAACAGGCCATAAATTGAAAATGAATTAACTAAACTTAATCCAAAGTGTTCAAGATAGCAAGCAAATGGTTATGATTTCACACTTCATTTAATGTAAAATTCTTTCTTGAGTATTTTTAAACAATAAAGGCAGACACAATTCTGATGATTTTATAATTCTATGTTTGTATTAATTCCGTAAGACTAGACAGAATGTCTTGTGAAGAAACAATTAAATGAGTATCATGACGACACAGCTCATTAAAAAAATAGTTAAATGACCCTAAGGAATTTTGTGTTTGAAGTGTTTTAAAATAAGCTTCAGAAATGTAGTTAAATTATTGGAAAGAATAGGACAATTCAAAAACGACGAGCAAATATTAGAGGTTCGATTTCATTGAACCAGTTCATGCACTATTGTGTTAATTACATAATAAATGTGTGCAACAAACACCAAAACAATAAAACTTTCAACCATTTTCCCATTTCCATCATCCACAAATAGCTACAAATGGCGGTAATCATGGATGCAGTCAGTTATTGGTACAATACAATATTTCTTTATATAGTGAAGGTTACATAAAATGTAACAACTGACAATTTACAAATGATATCATTATTAAACAAATGTGGGTGCATTAAACAATATGTGTAATACTAGACATGCAAAATATATTTCAAAACATTAGTAAATAAGAACAATGTATCGAATTTTATGAATGGTTTGAATGGTTTGATTTCTCGTTGTTTAAAGTATAGTACTCGTAAGTCGATTGTTAAATGACTACGAGGTCTATGAAATCATTTTTAAGATGGTATGATATATTAAACATAGTCAAATAACTAAAATTATGTAATGACAACTCCTGACTAAACAAAGTCTTTGTTACAAACTCTAACTTGCTAATTTACAAAATATATTTCCATAGATGGAACGAGGAACGAAAATCATAGCCCAGTTATTCAAATGTAAACTGTGTCCTCACAAGAAGAAACTTGTTTAAAATTTAAAAAAAACTTACCATATCCATAATCTGTATAAGAGTAAATCCAAACGAGACCTCTACATTTCTAGATGAATTATACACTGGTCTCACACTGTTGTCATAATGTTGGTCTGTTATTATCTTTTGCATAAGAGCTTGTTCGTCGGGCAGAAAAGCACTTGACAAAACTGAAATGAAAATAGATATAAAATTAGTTATCTGGATCTCAAAGGCTGTAATTGTAATTCTGGCGGTTTTTAGCTTTTTTACGAATATCTCTTTGTCAAACAGTTTCTTTTTCTAGCCTATCTCTCTTTACATATATGTTTTAATTGGGATAAATGTCTTTAAAACTCATTTATGTATTTAGTTCTTAAGACATGCAGGATTAAAAAACACAAGACTAAAGGGTCGTAAGTAAAAAAATCCATAATGTTTACATTTTATTCCACCAACTGATGATTTCATGAACGTTTGAAGATGGTGATTTTACTAATATAACTATTCTTATAAAAATGTCATTCACTGTATGATTTTGCTTCATTTTGATAAATAAAAGAAATAATTAAGACATATTTTTCTTTGAAAAACAGTCTTGAAAGTTAGCAACATTATAAAGAACGAAAATATCCAACCAAAAACTATATAAAAAAACAACATAACATAAAAAACAAATCAATGGAATTATCAAAGAACAAACCTATACATGTGGAAAAGAAGACACTTTTCACAGTGGTATATTCCATTATCACCATCAATAATCATAAATATGTTATATGCTTTTAGTCACTGAACGATAGTTCATAAACTCATGTCCCGGTATATCAAATATTCTCCTTCGTTAACCACTTACAAATAAGCTTGGACCTCCTTCGTAAACCACTAAAATCAAGCCTGAGCCTTGGCTTTCTATTCTTTATTTTGTTTATGTGTTTGACTTGATTGCCAGCTCTTGGTAAAATATTTACAAAACTTAATATAAATATTTCAACCTTGACAAAAAGTAGACTGTTTCTTTACTACCCCACGCATACTGACATACAAAGCTTTCTCACAAAGATCCCAGATTTAATTATCTTAATTAACAACTTTTGTTTTAAGTTTACACTTATATATAAAGAATCATGGAGATAGTATGTAATTAAAATGACATTAAACTATCAACACGTGCAGGTTAGATAAACAATGAGCAACAATCTTACTGTGTGTAACACTTGAAACGTTGATACAAGTTAAACTTTCAACGTATTTAATAGTAAATTTATAAACTTTATGATAAGAAATACTTAAAGTCCTTTCCTTTAAAAAAACTGATTTTAAAGATAAATCAATAAAACATGGAAACAACTCCAACTCTAACCCTTATAACAACAAAAATTCTGGAAAAAAACTGAAAAAAAAATCAATTAAATTCTGGTACATAAGCATATGAATATAACTTTATCATTCTGTGCATGTGAGCAAATTATCCAAAATGTGTCTCACTCATTAACTTTAAAAAAAGAGAAGAAACACGTTTAAAACTTCAAAATATATCCAGTTATGTTTTCTTTAAATTATTCCTATCAAGCAATGAGTATTTGTAAACGATGTATATGTATTTTAATGAAACGGTAAAATTACCATTTGAATCTTAATCCCGTCATAAAACGCTCAATATACTTTTATTTACAAAGAGAATATATCTCTATCCATACGATTAAATGATATATCTACACTCAATATAGATTCAAATATATATCTTCAATGTTTAAACACTTTCTTTAAACATATCAATTTTAATTTAATTTAATTAGTTTTTTTTATGTAATTCCAGTATGACAATATTTTTTTTGAAAAGACATATAAAATTATTTTCAATTAAATTCATAATATGCACGCATTTTCAATGTATATTTTATTCACACTTCTTTTAAATATAATAAATTGTTAGTTATCCATTTCCATTAGTGTTTAATCAAATAAAAACATTTACAATATCTTCACCATTACATCACAATAATAAGCTGCCAGTTTTGCAAATGCGGACGATCCATTTGTTTCATGTTAACATTAAGTCTTATAGAAATGCATTATAAAGTTAACTCTAAAAAAACATTTTCTTTGTCTGCTTTTATGTCATTTCTAAAATTATTGAAGAGAGACCTTTCAAAGAGACTGAAACATATTTCAATTGTTATTTCTGTGGACATACACATGTTTATAGCACTTAGAGGAGATATATACACGTTTTAATACTATTTTATTTATTACATTTCCTCCAAAATAATAAACTCTCTCCCATAACACTATTCTCTCCGGGATCAAGGTCGTCCTAAATTTAAAATCATAAAAGCAGTCGCCTGTATTCATTTTAGAAACGAATTTCTTTGGTACAATTCAGTGTTGTTATATTTTTCTGGTCCTTCGGGATGGATCATTGAGTCCAGCACTTTTTGTGTTGAGAATTGAGTACCGCTAAAGCCGGTGCTGGTGAGCGTGAGGGATGTTGCACTTTATCATTATCCCTCATGTACAGGCTCAATCAAACCGGGTCTGCAATTTTCATGTAATTTTGCTGTTTTTAATGCTTTCGAGGGATCAATTTTTCCCGATATCTAAATATATCACCTTTACAAATGTATCTTTAATTGAAGAAATTAGCTATTGCAAGTAAAATATACTTAATATTTAGTCTTAAAACAATACGATATTACAACAAACATCAATTGTTGAACCATTTTCATGATTTTCATGCATTCATATCAGGAATGTAGAACTATTTCAAAGTTTATTTTCTGAAACATTGGTACTAAATGTTTTTTGTTTTGGAACTTTAAAAGCTTACTGTAGTATCGCAATATATTCTGATTTTTCTATACGACAATGTACATGTATAATTACTTTGAGTAGTCATAGTGATGATATCATTTGCGATTCAAATATTGAAATATTGAGACTAAATATCTAAAGTGTTACTTTACAGTATAATGCGCTGGGCTTTATATTTTAAAGTTTACAGGAGTGTTCAACTCATTTGTACATGAATATACTCTAAAGAATGACTAAATTATCATATGAATCCTAGCCAAATCATTTACGCTCAATAACGTTTTATATACAAAGAAAATATATTTACAAATTTCCAGATGAATGGAGGGACTGCATTAATAATATTTTGATAATCAATCAAGTCATCTATGGATTTTTGTGGTTTTTTTTTATTTTTATTTTTGCCCTTTGCATTCCATAAGGAACGAAAAAACCGTTAAAATCGAGATGTTCAAAGTCAAATAATGTTTTGTTGTTGTTGTTTTTTTTCAACAGAAAATAGTCTAAAATATTTGTAGATTTGGAGAAAAAAGACAAACAAATCTCACATTCTTATTACACAAATAATTTGTTTAAACTTGTATGTGGCGTTGCCAAGAGTTCTGTTACCTGTATAAACAGAAACAATACATTCTTTGATGACGATGTAAAGTTATATCAATTGTTATTGTGTATGCTAAAACTGGGAAGTCTTCTCTTCTTCTCAATATTACTATAAAGAAGTTGATTAAATGCTATCAAACCATCAACTAAAACAAGTTAGATAACTCGACACTTGTCACTTAAAGCCTGTAAATTTGTTCGG